CTCGATGGCTGCTCGACGGATCGCACTTCCGGCGTTCGCAGACCGCCAGCGTGGACGATGATAATGCATTATGCATTCCACCGGCTGGGTTTTAATTGTTATTAACTCGCGATAAGCAGAACTTTAACACCTATAGTTAGGCCGGGCCAGAAACTGAAGCCGAGCATGCCGGGGTATAATTTCCAACATTTTATAAGCACTTAACAGGCCAAAAAATGAAAACGCTTGGTCATACACTGAACACAACATTGTGCTTAGAAGGGATGTAAGGTAAGGTTTTTGGTTTAAAATTAGGTGTTAGTAAAGTTAGTGAGTAAAGAAGACTTAACATCAACCATAAACTGGGTTGGATCAGCCAATAATCTCAGTTTTATGCTCTTAAACTTTGTTACTAAGAAAGTAATTTTCAATCTTCAGACCTATATCCCTTAGTCTACAACCTAATATCTTTAAAATATATCATTCATTAATACACAATTTTAAAGTAAAAGTATTACTCTTAGATTCCAAAGACTTTTCCCTCAGTGCCATACTTTTTTGGTAACCAAAACTGGCCGGTGCCTTTTACCTTTCGCTGGCTCGGGGATAGGGAGCGGGAACGGGGAACGGGAAATATAAATTGTCGGAGCCCGGAATTCTACACTGTCATCAAAGCGTAACTAAACGCCCATTTTTCTCAACTTTTTGGAGTTTGTGTCGGGTCGGACAGCCATTTTCGGTAGTTATTAGTGGCATATTTTGGCCTAAAGTGCGTGAACCATGTCGAAGCAGGCCAGCGCAGGCAACAAAATTTATTGTTAGTAGTGGTGGAGTGAAGTTAACAACAAAATGGACCTCCCAGCGAAAGAGAAAGACACGCAACGTGGAACGGGAGTGGGAACCTAAAGCGGACCTGGCCAGAAAAAAATATTAACGCCTCGAGCGGTAAGAGAACCAACAGTTGGTTAGTGGTAACTGTTGTTTTTGTTGCCCGGCGAGAGAGGTGGCGGGAGGGGTGGACCAAGTCAAACCTCTTACCTTATTGGCTGACGTCCAAAGACCGACCACCATGGTTGGATGCCCCATCCCTTGCCCCTGCCTTTGCTCATACTCCTACTCCTACCATCGATGATGATGATGATGATGATGATGATGGCGTTGATTATGGCTTATTTTCAAATCTCACCCATATACATTTGCCCCTCCGTCCAGTCTCGGTTCACTTCTTGGAAGTGAAAAAGTGGGCAAGAGCAAATTATGTGGAGTCATCAATGGCAGGCCAAGGCATCGGAATCGTAGCATCGCCAGAGTGGGAGTGGAGAGCACGCAAACCCCTGGATACTGGATTCTAGATTCTGCATTCTGCATTCTGGATTCTGGCCATTGGTAGTTGTTATGGCCAAGAGTGTTGGGCAATTTTCAGGCTGCAGCTGGGTTGTCCTGAATTATCGCTGCTCAGATGGCCAGCACAGGAGATCTCCAGATCTGGCATTAGTTCGGTTTAAACTTCTTTCTTATAATTTACGTTTCAGGAGGTAGGAAGTTTGTATTCAGGATGGACTTTTTTAGGAATATTATTATCCTCTAATGCCACTTTAATCCTTATCATAGTCTAATATCCTTTTGAACCTAGAATAGAGAGAATAATGGAAGGAAGTTCACTCCTCAATTACGACCAAAACTCCCCTGATCGTGACGATCCTCTGCAAGAGCCAACGAAAACATTTACAACCTTTTTGCACCGGGTTAATCGTCTCATGTCATGCCCATTAGACTCGATCAATATCGATCTCTGGCCGATCATCTGGCCTGATCTGTGCAGCAGATTTGACCGTAAAATCGAGTGCAATAAAAGTTGCAGAAGAGACACAGCAAGTGCCCGACTGTTTTCAATCAACAAAGACACGACACGCTCAGCTGAAGATCAGAGGAGAGGACTCCCCGTTCGCGAGCTGTCCATGATCGCAGCAATGATCACGGGATCTCAACCTGGTCTTCTGGAACCCAGAAACCCCGAATCCCAATCCCAATACCGATCGAAGCGTAGCATTTTTGCACGGCACATTAGCTGTTTGAGAAACAGGAGGCCCATAAAGTCCGTAGTGTTGCAAATTTTTATTTGGAAGCAATTTTCACACCCTGCGAGGGCCTAGAACGGTCACAGCAGTGTCATGCGGCGATCGGTGCTGACCTATGACCCCTGGCCAGTGGCCGTTTCGGCTGCTTATGCTGCTGCTGCTGCTGATTCTACCAATTCTGCTGACAGGACACAGCGTGGCTAATTCGGAAACGCTTGACAACTACATATCCAGAGGGTCAAAATTTTTGGGCAAAAACAAGGGAAAGGGAACCAAAATTTCCAGACGCAAAGTTGCAAATGATGCCAAATGATTGCCGACCATATAAATTCCGATTGTTGAGCGATTAGCAGGGAAGTCTGCCTGGGCTGCCAGGTACAGGACTACGCCCCCCGCCTCCAGGGCTTTAGTCGCGCTTCATCGCCGACGATTATTTGCAATTATGAGCAGAGATTTTACACTTTTAGTGAAACAACACCCCCCTCCCCCAGCAAAGAGAAGGTGCTAAGAAATTAACATGCAAATCCATTCCATATGCAACACAGGAAAAGTTTGACTTTTCGACTTGTTCCCTAATCACCTGAGTCTGGGAAACTCCTCAAAGTCCACAGCTCCTTGTTGGTTGACCATATCGTAGACCTTCAATAAATGCCCAAGGACACGCAGCAGACACTCGTTTGGTACTCCTCAAGGCCAAATCTCTCGGGGGTTTTTGGACTTGCATCGGTCTTGGTTTGTTTAGAATTGTTGTGGCGTTGTTTTACGGATAGATATTACTTTGATGGATTAGCCATATCGCATCGAAGGTCGGCTCTCGGTTAGCCTCGAATTTGTTACGACCTGTTTTGTGTTGGCTAACCAAAATACAACGCTCAACACTAACAGGGTCAGCTTGTGATGGGTTTGGAAAGCTATATATTATAGGGGAAAAGGGTTTATGTTTTGAAGCGAAGTCCTTGAATGTAACTTTTAAGGGAAAATTCACAATAAAGTTAAACTAATATGTAAGAAAGTGTTAAGGAATCTTCAACCAAACATCTGATAATCATACAAGATATTGCCATAAAAACTCTCCATTTTGATATCCTCATTCTAAAACACTTTTAATTACCTCAAATGATGGCCAATCATAAAGAAATTACCACCACTCTCGCTATCTGGCATTAGTTAATGAATAGAACCACCGGACTTTAGTAGGTCTGGCGATTCGGGTTGCTTTTACGATCGGAGTGGGTCGAGACTAGGCGAGAGGCGAGAGGCGAGAGACGGCGAGGGCTACCTACAGCAGAGAGATGGGTTTCGATTTTATGATTTATTTACATTCCGGCCTTCTGTTCTCGGCCTTACTCATTCGGCTAGAATGCCTGGGAGTGCGTGTGTGTGTGTGTGTCTCATCATTTGGATTTTCCGCGGCAATAAAATTAATAAGAACGCGCTAATTTTTCAGGCCCCGGGGCCTAAGCAAAAGGCATATACACAATTTCCTGCAACTCCTCCTCCACCCCCTTTTCCCCTAACTCTTTTCCCAGCGCCCAGACTGTGCTAATATTTGCCAAGGGATTTTTGGCCTAAACCGAGAGCGGAACTCTTTCCGTTCGCCATTTTGTTGGCCAAACGTTCTTCCTGTTGTTGTTTAGAAACCTAAAAATAAATCTAAAAATAGGAATTACTAAGTTCTATTAATAAGAAGTGAAAACATAAACATTTAATTAATAAATATTTAATAATATAATTAAGAGTAATCCCTGGAAAACTCATTCATTAACAGCTTTGACATGATCTGAGCCAGCTAATAAATGTGTAATTCATGGAAAATGGCCGAAAGATCGGACGGAAGAGAGGAGTCTTCGGAAGTTGGGGAATGGTTGTAGGGTGGGGGATACCTGCTCCTCCTGAGCTGCAGCTACATTGTCCAATTAGTGGAAGCAGCCAGGCAATGGATGAGGAAAAGGTAAGACATAAAGACTCAGCACGGAATGCGAGAGTGTGTGTTAACAAACGACCGAGAGCGAGGGAGCTGGCTGCATGCGAGGCAAGTACATAAGACTACTCCGAAATCTACTCCGAAAAGCAGCACAAAACTTGTTCTCACACGGCAAATGTGAGGGAATGCCTAGGTAATGGGTAATAGGAAGATCAGGTTAGTAAGGGAAACTGAAAATTGGATTTTAAACTTATTTTAAGGAGTAATCTGTATTTTAGGTAGTTAGTTAGAATTAGGGACTAAGCTAATAACTTACTAAAGGTTAGAATAAAACCGATTAATCGATAGAAAAAGTGATTTATCGTTTGTATTTTAAATAAATAACTAAATTTAAATTCCATTTATGTTAGTTATTTACTAAAAATAACATAAATAATGATTACCAACAATCTACCATCAACAACCAAACACCATTTTCGACAGCCAAGACTGCTATTAATAAACATTTTTACCTCTCCCATTCGCTAACCGAACAGTAAGCGTATCGAAAAGCGCCACGAAAGCCAATCCCATAAATACCTTAAGGAAAGAGGCGAAAAAATTGCGACAAATAAATATAATTAAATGCAGTCGAGGCTATGACGAAATCCCAAGAGATTGCGCAAATAATCCGGCAATACAATCGATTACACCGAAAATGCCGCTCAGCGGTTTTCCATTTCCGCCATTTCTTATTGGGCGACGCTGGCTATATACTGTATACGCCTATATCTCTATATACGCTGCGTATGTGTGAGTGAGCAAGCACGAAGGCAGAGCAAACGAGCAAAACAATCAATGGGTGAGTATATATAGCGGTGCTCTTCTGACTTACAGTAAGGCAAGACTAGAGCTGGCATAGCTCCGCCCCACTCGCACACAGCGATCGTGTGTGATACGAAGAGCAACGAAATGCCATCGGATCGGGGATCTCGGATCGCTGCTGACAAACGCAGAGTCGGACGAAAGAACGCACCGTGTGTTTCAGTTAAGTGTTGGCACTGAACCGGGCAACAATCTTCACTCCTCCGCTCGAATCGAATCGAAACTGAAACGCCGCGATCTTCCGATCTATAACTAGAGCGAGCCGAGAGTAGTGTTCTATCTATCTATCAGAGATACAAAGATATAAAACCATATTTGAGCGTGGAAAACTCACAAGTTCTTGTTGTGTCCCATGATTGCCGTGTGATCCATTTGGAGTTAATAGCACAAATATGAGCAGCAATATCGGCATGCCCATGCTAATGATGATTATGCCTCATTTATAGTGCGCTAATTGAACGCGAAATTGCTCGATCAAAAATCAATATACCCTAACCATTCGCCAACAAGCAACAGCAGCAAACAACAACAACAGAAACAACAATTTGAAGAATCAAAAATCGAATACCAAGTTTAGTGTTCAGTGAGTTAGTGTGTGTCGTCGGAAAGAGCAATAATGGATATCAGCTATATCTTCGTGATCTGCCTGATGGCCCTGTGCAACGGCGGCAGCAGTCTGAGCCAAGTGGAGGGGAAACAGAAGTCCGGCCGGGGACGGGGCTCCATGTGGTGGTAAGTTTGTTTCGAATATTTTCCATTAAATTGGGCAATTAGCATTAGGGCGGCAATAAAATCAGCAAACACCAGCAAAAAAATATCTAAAAAAAAAAAAACCAAAGCAGAAGACAATGAAACAACAACAAGGCACGCGCCGAAAGTTTTCAAGAAACATTTCCCACAGCAACAAACAAAAAAAAAAACCACACACAAAATGTTAAAGGTCTTGTGCGTCACGCACCAAATGCGGAAGCCACAAAATGCACACAAACACACACACACACACACACACAGTAAAAAATGAATAAAAGCTTCGACTTGGACTTCTTCCCATCGCCTGATGAAAGCAATTAAAAATTCTAAGCGCGCATTCAACTTTTACTTGGGATAAACTCTGAGTGTGTGTGTGTGTGACACAGTTTGAGATATGAATGGGGTTTTGGGTGAATGGAGTAGGGGGGCAATAAAGAGTCTGGAAGAGGGGGCCTCGATAAGGAAGTGGACAGTTTAAGAACCACCGCAGAGCAGCAGCAACAGTTGAGGTTTTCAAGAAGCACTCACAGCTGAATCAAGTTCGTTGCCTAAGTCTTTCGTTTGGCTGTTTGAGGAAACTTCGTTTTAATAGATCAAAAATTCCTAATAAATATAATAGTTCAGTGAGATTAAATATAACATAAAAGTCACATATTCCTGTTAAATATTAATCATTCTCTAAGCTTCATGACTAAGCCTCAATCATAAATGTTTAAAGTCAAATATTTAGCCAGAGACTGTTATTTGTTATTGCTATTATTACAGAGCTCCCAGAGATTCTCTGGCTTTGATGTGTTTGTTTGTTTGACTTTTATCATGTGCAAAACTTCAGCTAAGCCTTAATAACATTTTATAACGGCATAAATTTCAGCCGCGACAATAAAAAAAATCAACACAAATACGTAAAAAAAAATAAAAGGCAGAGGCAAATACAGCGACGTTTGCCGTCGCATAAATCTCAGTTCGGGGCATCGATTTTTAATCCGCCTGGGAATTGATATCGATTGGGGGATCGATGCTCCGCAGATGTTACACTTTCCGATCAAGTTTTTTGTTTTATTTACGTACTTTTATTAATCTTGCCTTGCATTGCGCAACGTTCTGTTCCCACCACAATTAGCAATCAGCTTTCAATTGAATTGCCAATTAATTTGCATTCTCCGCGACCTGTCAATAAACATTTGTTTATGTTTGTTTATTGTTTGTTATGTGCATAAATAAATACGCGTTTGCTGCTAATGAAGCGTGGAAAAAATATTATAAAGATCAACAATTGGAACAAGAAAAATAAATGATGACAGGTCACAGAGGAGCAAAGCGCTAGCCGACAGGTGTCTGCAAATATTTGTCCATCTTCATGTGAGTGTACCTAATAAATGTGTGTGTGGTTTATGCTTGAGTAACGCCGGCAATTGACGAATACCGCCCAAAAACAACAAATGTTCGAAATAGAAAAAAAAAAACCAGAGAAAAGCCGCAAAATGAAAAACCAAAAGCCGAAAGAAAAACAGCTCGATCTCAAGTCAAGTGGAAAGACACATAGACCCCCAGGAAAATATGACAAAAAAGAAGTGTTTCAGCTGATGGAAATCCTCGTTCTCGTTCTCATTCTCGTTCTCATAATTAGGCGCAAAACTCAGCCAAGCATTTAATAGTTTTGACAACCTCTTTCCCTTTCCCAAGATTGCTCTATTAACTTTCGGTTTTTCTGGTTCATTTTCTTTTTTTTAGGGGCATTGCCAAGGTCGGCGAACCCAACAATATAACGCCTATTATGTACATGGATCCGGCCATTCATTCCACGTTGAGAAGGAAACAGCGCCGCCTGGTCAGGGATAATCCCGGTGTGCTGGGAGCCCTGGTAAAGGGTGCCAATTTGGCCATCAGCGAGTGCCAGCATCAGTTCAGGAATCGTCGCTGGAACTGCTCGACGAGAAACTTCTCCAGGGGCAAGAACCTATTCGGCAAAATCGTTGATCGAGGTGAGTTTTTGAATATAATTTTAATATTAAGGTAAAACACTTAGTTAAGATTCTTGAAAGAACCTCAACTTGAGCCGCACTTAAGAGGAAATATGATCTTCAGATCTATTGTCAACGCCTTCGTTTTTTTTGGGTTTTACTAACTACTAAAAAGGCTGCCACACAAATAGCTTGCATAACCATAAACCATAAACCAACTGCAATCCAGTTTTCCCTTCGACTGGCTCCTTATTTATGTCAAGAAATGTCACTCCCCCGGACCTCTGGCGCTTGTTTGTTATTGTAATACGATCTGAGCACTTGGTAATATGTATATTTCGTATATATGGGTTGACTACCCTTTTGAAGGGGCCACTTTCCCCTGGACGGTGGACACGGGGGACAACAAAGAGTTGTCTCTGTGCTGGCTGCACTTGCTCCACTTGCCCGGTTCGGTTTCAGCGTGTTTATGCTAATGAGCCCAAGTTGGCAGCACCAGTGGAACCAACTCTGGGCCACTGTTGTCACTCACTCACTCACTCAGACAGCCAGCCATTCAAATCAATCAAACGTGCTTGTCTTCTGGGAGTCGAGTCCCCGCCTGCTGCGCCAGCCAGCCTGCAGTCCCAGGAGAACGTTGCACGTTTCTCTTAATATATAAATGTAAACAAAAGTCGCGCATGCGCAGTTTTTGTCCTGGCGCGTTTTTAGCTGGAAATCCATGTGACTCCCGCCCTCGCCTGCCGTTTTATTAGCTACTGTTTTGTCCTGTTTTCCCAAGATCCTGTTCCTCAAACTACCTGATCTTAATATATATATATATATACTCTTATATATAGTGGGCGTGGCAAGCGTCGCGTGGCTTCGATACTCCGATTCCCTTTCCTCGCCGCCTGTCAACGGCAGCTGACTTTTATAGCCAGGCTCTTGACCTTATCAAGTTATTTCGACTTCGGCTCTCCGGCCAGAGATCCTTTTTATGAGCTCTCGACATTTTATGGATTTACTTAAGGCAAAAAGGGAAATTATTGCCCTGGTGACAGCTTTTTATCACAGCACTTTCATCGCTTTCCACAATCAAATTTTTAATGTATTTGCCCTGCCTTGCCTTGCCATGCCGTGCCGTGCCCTTGGCCCTAATTAACACCTAGAGCGCACCATTAACACTTGGGGTTCGAAGCTATGCCAGTGGCTTCCAAACTGGCATACTGGATACTCTGAAACTGAAAAGAAACCCTGCCAGCGGGGCACACTACCTATTCCTGTCTTGTCTGGGATCTCTCTTTATTCCCTTCTAAGTCCTAAAGGCTGGCCTAACTTGTTTTCTAATTGGTGACACCTCGTCAATTTGCCACGCCACACGCTTTAACAGGCCGTCTCTATTAGTGAATTCTCGTTGGGTTCCTTGCCCAGATCTCTTTTTGGCAATCATCATCGGTTCGTGACGAAGCCGCCCCGGGTGTCCCTGTATTCCAGTATTCCTGTCTTCTAAAGACCCTATGTCCCTATGTCCCTGTGGGTTTTATATCAAGAGGTCTAAACTATTCCAGGAACTGCTGACGATGCTGTCACTAAGCAGCTTAACCCTGAGATGAGCTGTACTCCCTCAGATCTCAGGATCAGTCGATGCTTCTGCTGCTTCTGATTTTCATCCTGCTCTCAATTTCAATCAGCTCGAGCCACGCCCACTCACAACGGAAATCCGTTTTGGCAATTAAATGAAAACCAAAAAAGAAAACGAAGAAGTATCGCATTACATGCGGAAATTTGCTTTTTGGTTGCTCCATTTTGGCCACACCCTTTCTTGGCCTAATTGCTCAGGGGGCACCACCCCCGCTTTTCATTTTATATATCGCATTTATTATCTTTTGTTCGCTATTTACACATTCAAAAAAAAAAATAAAAAAGAATAAAAAAAAACAAAAAGGAGAGTACGAAATGCAAACAGCATTTCGCTTCCAAAAGGTAACGCGAATTCTTGCTAAGCTAATCACCAGAAAACCAACTCACCAATGACTGTGTCACGCCTCTGGGGCCCCCATCTACCATTACGATCCCTGCTCGCACCCCCGCCTCTGTGATTCCCAAACCGTTTGCGCATGCGCCGCCGCCTTATCGCGGACCAAACATCTTGCACATATTTACACACAATTTACCTGTGTGCGCCTTAAATTTCGTTACATACGTGAAATTATTTAAGGAAAAACGAAACCGAAAACGAAACCACCAACGACAAACAAACAAACATTAACCGGGAATTGAAGGCTCGCTCGGGAATAGTTTCGAAAAAAAACCGAAAAAAAAACAAATTATTTCGTGGTCGAATTCCAGGAAATCGAAATCAAAAGCGGCGAAATTTTTAACACCAAGCGGAAGTTGTTTTTCGGTTGATATCGAGAGAGAGCGCGCGAGAATTTGTCAATCGTCAAGTGCAGACTAGTCAATCACAGACCCGTCAATCAGCGCCTGAACAGAAATAAGTCAGACTGCCAGGGCTTACATTTTAGATAAAAAGGAAACTCTATTTTTTCATAAAACTATTTTAATGGCAGTAGGAAAGAAATTTCATTTTTACATAAGAACTTGTACAAGTCAAGTACTTTACACTCTCGAAAAGTGCAACTGGAAATTCCAAAACAAGGTTGACAAGGCCTCTCTGGCCAAGAGTTTTCAGCTACCTGACCGGAGGTACCATAGAGCATCGACCATCCCCTATACCTATATATCATATCTTGGGCTATGAACCGAGGCGAAACCACTTGAAAAATTATCTGCAACATGTAAATTCAATTTTCATTGTTCTTTATCTGTGATGGTCTCGCTCTCAGAACAGAAAACGGAGACAGAAACAGAAACGGAGGCAGTTACTAAAAATAAAATGAAAAGGGGAAAGGCAGAGGGAAAGGGCAGAGGGCAGAGGGAAAAACACAAGGGGGAAACTGTCCACTCGAATGGTCTGAGCAGAGAGATGGACCCAAAGTGTTAAGTTGGAATTTATAGTTGAGCGTTTAATCTGTGTCAGGTTTTGGTGGGCTCATCTCTCTGCCTCTCTGCCTCTGTGGCATTGATAACTTGAAGTGTCATAATTGACCAGACTTTGGAAGACAAGTGCCATTACTCATAACGAAAATTTTTAACTCTCTTGCCCACGACGTCTCCCGGCCATCACTTCACTTGGCCGAGATTGAGATCTTGTCTTGGTCCCGGTATTGGTCTTCGGTGCCAAGTGGAACACCCAGAAGGCGAAAATAATGACTGCACAGAGAATAAAACTTTGGAATACTTTTGTTTAGTTTTAAATCAAATTTATTATTATTAAATCAAAATGCAATTTTCCATTTTTTCCAGGCTGCCGAGAGACTAGCTTCATCTACGCCATCACCAGTGCAGCGGTGACCCACTCGATTGCCAGGGCCTGCAGTGAAGGGACAATCGAGTCCTGCACCTGTGACTATAGCCACCAGTCGCGCTCCCCTCAAGCCAACCATCAGGCTGGCAGTGTGGCCGGTGTGAGGGACTGGGAGTGGGGCGGCTGCTCGGACAACATCGGTTTTGGGTTCAAGTTCTCCCGGGAGTTCGTCGATACTGGAGAGAGGGGTCGCAATCTGCGGGAGAAGATGAATCTGCACAACAACGAGGCGGGTCGAGCGGTAAGTTCAGCTTTGTAAACCAAAATGCACAGAGAGAAAAGAGAATAGAAAACAAGTCAATATTAAGTAAATTTCAAATCAAATTTTACTCTTTTTAATATACTTTTCTCTCTGTGTAACTCGTAATAAGTAGTCCTAATGTTCGGTTTAAGCCTGGCTGGGCGATTTACGACTGTAGCGCTAATAAAAACCAGCGACGACAATTTCCGTCCCCACAATTAATTGGAGCCGAACGCCAATTGGCCTAGCTGCAGTAGAGATAAGCCCTCTCTCTCTCTATCTCTCTCTTTCGCTCCCCTATCTCTTCCCCCAGAATGCGGGGGGACTTCTGCACTCGTTTGCGCTTGTGTCGCTCGTATATTAACTCGTTGACAGCTTCCAGTTCCCCTCCACATGCAAGAAAATAGCAAGACTTAAGTTTTGGGGGCAACTGCACAGTGGTTTGGGTTTAGAAATCAAATTAATATGCGATTTAAACGATAATGTTAGATCTTTTCTAACCCAAAAATAAGATTTCATATCGATAAGTTAGAGATTTTTATTCATTTTACAGCATTTCCTAAATCAAATATCAGATTTAGAATCCACATTTTGCTAGCCTTTTACCCCACGCCCAACCCACTGTGCATCGCCACTCCTGCTGTCCGTTTTAGTGGGGCGTAGAAAGTAGCACACAGCGCCAACATCCCGCAACCAACATCCAGCTAGACCCAAGCGATCCCACCGGATCCGGGCCTAGTCCTCGCTGCCTTCGCTCCTTGCTTCGTCTTTGGTTAGCAGGGCCCACCGTCTGTGTTATTATTTTATTACTTGTTATGGGCCGCAGCTCCATAATCATTGCGATCAGCATGATGATGATCATCGGGCTGCTGCTGCTGCTGCTGCTGCTAACCGAACTGAAGGCCCCCCAACTGCGTTGATTTCTTACTTTTGGTCCGCGCACAACAATTACAACCGGCAACTTCGGGGGGGACATGCAACAAGCGCACAGCAAGTTGCAACAACATTTATTGATTTTTAATAACTGCAACAACGTGGCAGGCGGGCCGCCAATCTCCCAGCCAGCCAGCCAGCCAGCAAACGGGCAAAAACAACAACCGGCCAAGACTAAAAAACCAGCAAAATAATTAAGTGAAAAACATATTGCGAGTCGATTCGCAAGCAGCCTAATAAAGTCATACTAATGAACAATCTCTCCCCGCTCTTTTTCCAATCTGCAGCACGTCCAGGCGGAGATGCGACAGGAGTGCAAATGCCATGGAATGTCCGGCTCTTGTACAGTGAAGACCTGCTGGATGCGATTGGCCAACTTCCGTGTGATTGGCGATAATCTCAAGGCTCGTTTCGACGGAGCCACCCGCGTCCAAGTCACCAACAGTCTTCGGGCCACCAATGCCTTGGCTGGAGTTAGTCCAAATGCCGCTGGTTCCAATTCCGTGGGTTCCAATGGACTGATTATCCCCCAGTCGGTGGTCTACGGCGAGGAGGAGGAGCGCATGCTGAACGACCATATGCCGGATATCCTGCTGGAGAACAGTCATCCGATTAGCAAGATTCACCACCCGAACATGCCGTCGCCCAACAGCTTGCCCCAGGCTGGGCAGAGGGGCGGACGGAATGGCCGTCGCCAAGGTCGCAAGCATAATAGGTAAGGGTCAACTTGATTTAGACTTTCTACTTTCTGCTTCTTGAAGAATAAATGAAGCTTTATTTAAATTCCCAATGCACCCAACTAACTTAATACCCCTTTGCTCTTCCTTCCTTGCAGATATCACTTCCAACTGAACCCCCACAATCCCGAACACAAGCCGCCAGGCTCCAAGGATCTGGTCTACCTGGAGCCCTCGCCCAGCTTCTGCGAGAAGAATCTGAGACACGGCATTCTGGGCACCCATGGGCGCCAGTGCAACGAGACCTCGCTGGGCGTGGATGGCTGTGGGCTGATGTGCTGCGGGCGTGGCTATAGGCGAGACGAGGTCGTGGTGGTGGAACGTTGTGCCTGCACCTTCCATTGGTGCTGCGAGGTCAAGTGCAAGCTGTGTCGGACCAAGAAGGTCATCTACACGTGTCTCTAAGGACACGGCTCGCCTCTCTTAAGCCCCATCTCCCTTCAATCTTTGTATGTGTTATGTATTTTGTCTACGCTTAGCCTTTGTTATTAGCACCTTAAGAGCCTAGACTATAGCCTAGTTAAAGATACGACTAACAGCCCGCCCATCTAACGCCCCTCCACCCCATCTAACTCTCACTTTTTTTTTAGCAGTATTACACGAGGAATATTAACGAATAGATTTCAAGAGAGAGAAAGTGAGGAAAAGGAATACAACGTGTGTGTTTGCCCAGTTTTTAGTCATGTAAGCTAGCTCCCAATCGAAGCAAAATATTTTGTAAATTACAAAGCCCTCCCAACCCCCTCTTTGGTAGCCCTAGTTAGTAGTTAGTAACTAAAATTATTTTAGTCTAGCTTAAAGTTTTCAAAGCGCCTCCCCCTTTTCTGCTGAAACCCTTAACCCATTCTCGTTTAACAACTTTTTAAATCACTGAAAACAAGACTGAAAATTCAAATAGCGCTCAGCTCAGCTCCCTTCACCCTCTGGCGGACACTGCTTGCACTGCTTGCATACTGCTTTGGCCAGGACCAAAACGCATGCGAAGTGGTCAGGAAGTTGATCTTGTTGGAAAAACAGAATGGCCAGGGCTGGAAAATGAATGGAAAATGTTACTTTTCCATTTCATTTAATCTTTTTCCACTCTTAACCTGGCCTGGGAAAGCAAAAAAACTTCTACTTTTGTGTAAATAATTAAGCTTAAATTAACTTTTAGTTTTTAGTTTTAAACGCCAGACCAATCCCACGAGAGAACAGAGAAAGATTTTAGTTGCTTGGAATTTATGAAATTTGCACATGAAATATTTTTTTTGTAAACGCATTTAATTTATCCTCCCCCCTCGGCCTTTAGGTATTACTAATTGATTATATGGACTTAGCTAAGTATATAAATAGCTCGATATGAATATAATATTTAATTAATTTATACTAGCTCATAGACATTCAATTTTGTAAAGTATTAATGCGAAGGAAAACAAGAAGCGAAAAAGCAAAAAGCAGAAAGCGATCAGAAAAATGCGAATGCAATCGAAAACAAATCAATAAAAAACACAAAACGGCAATGACTAAAAAAAATAAAAACAAATTTTGGAATTCATTTTGTATGTGGCCTGTGCTGTGACTGGCCTGGGGGGCAATTATTGGGCTCATGTGTGGGGCAATTAGCTGGGAAGGCAGATACAGGGGAGGTACAGGGTTCAGGTCAGGGTCGCCGCCGATCTGCTCTGAGGCATTTCAATATTTGATTTAAGCCAGCTCAACAGCAAGTTGCAGCAGCAGCAGTGCAGCAGTGGCAGTTTCCCAAGCGCATTTTTTGCTCTTGCAGCAAACTGTCAACCTGGGCAGCTACAGAAAGCAGAAACAACTGCTGCAACAAGCAGCGACAGTTGCATCTTTTGTATATCGTCGGCAAAAGTCGGTGGATAAACCCCGCTGCACCGCCGCCCATTCCAGCTGACAATGCGAACGACAATTCCGCGCTGTCAGCGGCGAGCCATCGAATGTGGCTTTCAAGTTTTAGCGACTCAGGATTGAGGATGTGGTGGATGTGGATGTGGATGCGGATGAGGTTCAGGTTCAGGTTGAGGTTCGGCGCTGGACGATCGCGACATGCAATTGCCGTACCAACTATGCCAACCTGACATCCGACAGATCTAGACGAGAGCAGGCGGTTAAGATAAACCTAAGCCTGGATGAGGCTTACATTGATCCTGATTTCAGCTACTGATCTGCAGATGAAGATGGAGCTGAAGCTGGAGCTGGAGCTGAAGACACTGGCTAACTAAACACACTCTTTGCCAGAACAAAAAAAAAGTGATCGTGCTACATGTGTCCACTGTGCTTGACAGTTTTGTTTCGCCTTCTTTTCATTTTCCTTTCTTTTCTTTTTTCGATACGGGTGGGAAAACAATTTTTCGTTCAGAAAACGGGATTCCGCCGAGATGTTTGATTAGCTGCTGATTTTTCAGGGACCTTGAACTAAAAGTGGCTGAGATATAGGTTTGCTAGTTCTGCTAAAAGGAAACTGTTTTTGAAGTGAGAAAAACTTTAAGAACTTTTAGTTTGAGGGACTTTAAAAGTTAGAAAATTCCAACTTAAAAGCTTAAGATTTGAGTTATATTCTGATGATGAAACATTGAAGATCATCTCATTCATTGTTCCCATCATGCCACATCCTCTACAGCTGACATCATTCGGTTTCCATGTACCCAAACTCATTCCAGGTCCCCATTGTGTCACTTGTAATTAGAGAATAGCTTCCAAATGACCGGCAAATGATTCACAATCGGTTGGCCTCATCGATGCACTGAAGAAAATGCATAAAAATTAAATTAGTTTGATTTAAGTCTTAACTTTTTATATACCATTATCTGGATTTGGTATTGTTATTTGTTATTGAGTTTCGAAATAAAGTTTAAACTTTCAGGAAATATGTAAAAATCCTAACAATAACACAGAGAACCATCATTATACGATTTAAGAATGCAAATCATAAATATTAAAAGGAAAACTTAGTTTTCTAGCTAAAGATATTTAAAAACTGAAGGTAAAGTCTCGTATTAAACATTATTCAAAGTTATAAGAAGACGGCGGCTCAATAAATCAAAAATTTATCTTAAATAAACTTTAAAATTTAATAAAATACCAATTTAACTTTTTTCCCTGTGCTTCTCTCAGTCAGCCCCCTGGCAACCTATTGGGCTTATTGGCATTATTGGGCATCTCATAACCCCGAGGGGCACATAGTACTCCTTAGCCAGAGAGTGATGTGCCATTGTTGTTATTTAGTTGGCACCGCGAGGCGACAATTGTTGTCTCCGATGAGTCGTAGTCGGAGTTGGTTGTGTGTGTTGTGTTTGTCGCTGTCTGGTCCGAGGAGACATTGCTCCTAATCAATAAAACTAACGAGCGGATTAAGATTATGTTGGCAGTGGTAGTGGCCGTTGCAGTTATGGTGCCTATTGCCGAGGCGAGAGACCAAAAGCGGCGCACGCTCATCCGAAAATGGTCAGGCGGCCTAATGAATTGCAAGTCGCCAGCGTCGTTTACTATAACCATGCCTGTCCGGCATACAAAATCAAAAAGAAAAAATGAAGAAGAAAGTAGAAGCTAAGAAGACGAAGCTTTAAATACCCTAGAATAATAATGATTACTTGGGTTATCCTTCAATTTTTAGTTTATACTGAAAGATATATACTTTTGGCCTGGAAATAAAAATCAAAAACATGAAACTAATTTTCAAAGTTTATTCTCCAACTTTCATACCAAAGGACATACCCACCGTAAGAATTAAACTCAAAGTAAAGAACAGCCACAAAAAAAAGCGGATCGGGATCGGTATCGGATCCCCATGTCGGTCATCTTCCTCCGCTCGGTCGTCAATCGCTCGCCGGTTCGATCAGCGGTTCGATGGTTTGCCATTGCGCATGAGCGTTCGATGGTTTGGCTGTTTGGCCGATCCGCTGATGTGGATGTGACAATGACAGTTGTTGTTCGTCATGTTTGGAGCATGTACTGCCCCATGCCACATGCCCCGCTTCGCTCTCCCCATCTCAACCATCCAAGAGCCTGCTCCTCTTTTGTGTTGTAATTGCAGACGCCACACGTTTCGCGCGCTGTTTGATTTGGAAATTGCAACAGATCGGCTCGGTATGGGCAATATATCGCGATGGGGGCATCTCATTGACTTGGCATTCCCGGCACGCGCACTTCTTGGCATGACAAGACTTTCAAGCCTCCCCTCCGACCCCCTTCCCCAGTTGGCTAACTCACTCTTTTGACCCTTTTGGCCACAATGAAAATTTTTGACTCCAGGCCTCCCTCCCGTAGCGTGTGTCCGTTAATTAAGTGGCAATTGTTGGCGAGGCGTGAGAATTTAGCGGATTAGGCAAAGAAATGTAAGTGACCTGGGAGAAGGCTCTAGTTGGTTTTGGGTTGAGCTTGTAAGTTGAGGCAACCTTTTAGGGCAAGGGGCCCCGTAAAAGGCATCGCGACTTGGGAGATCTGTGCCCCCAAGGCTGCAAGCTTTTTAGATTTTTAGCTATATGCTATATACCCAATGATCATATTAGGCATTTTCTTTTGGGTAATCTATATTAATCTTAAAACCAATAGCTTACCTTTACCTATCACTCTTAGCCTATTGATTTGTATGCCCTAACCAGGACTGAATCATTGGCCTAGTGCCTATGGCTATCAATCATCGAGCCGCGGCCTGTTAACATGGGCGACAAGTTCTGCGATTGTCGCTACCAGGAAGCGATGACCAAGCACCGAGAAGAGACCACCAGAGGAGCAACTGGCCACTGTCCATTGTCCATTGTCCACTAGCGACTGCCAACTGGTAATGCCCTCTGAGACCGACTAGACCAGACTCCCGACCATGTAATTAACAGCACGCAAAAAGTGTTTGCCAAGCGTTTATGGAATGGGTATGAGGATGGGGATGGGGTTGCTACTAAGATGCCACCACCATTGGATGCAGCTATTGGATATGGGTGTCCCATTGGCCGAAGGCGACACGCATGTAAACATTGCCATTTTTGGCTAAAGACGCGACAGCTGCTCCGGACATTGGGACTGGAGTGGACATCACCCTTTCTGATTCGCAGTACACGGAGAGATATTTCTTTAATAACTAAATTTAACTTTATATTTAAAGTTTTTAAGTTCAGAGATGGTATTTTACCTTTAAAGAAGCCAAAATATTTTCCAGATAGTTCAGTAAGAAACTAACATTGCTGGTTTGAGTTTAAAGATGCCAATTTTACTCTTAATGAATATTTTTGTTTATAAACTTATCATAAATATTTATTTCCCATCTATAAAGATCAATTACGTTTCTTTCCGTGCACTCCATTTCATTCCCATCTGGGTGGCCAACTCGGCAAAGACGATCTGACGATCGTAATTGAGTTACAAAAAGGTCAATCGATCCACCGTTGGATGTGGAGTGTCAGTGCTCGACTTTAATTTATTTTATAATTACACGCACTTTATGCCTAATTAGTTTTGTTTTTTCTGCCCCATTCCGACCTCTTTCCCTCACCCCATCACCCTTTCGGAGTTGCCTGTCTGCCGGATCGGGGCCACAAAAAAGTTTCCCATCATTTGGCTTCCATTATGCAGCGTTCGCGGCCACCGAATTCCAAAGGTGCGCGCGAATGGGCGTCAGGTTTGCACAACCACACACACACACACATGTGTGTGTAGATGTATAAGTGAGTATAAAGCTCGAACAAAGGAGCAAGGTCAGGTGTGGAGCGGAGAGTGCGATGGAGACTAGGGAGGGAGT